GATTTTTGCGAATCTTCAAAAATTTGTGAAATCCACATAATTTATAGGCCTCAAAAATTTTACCCTATACAGCATATTCCTGTCTCTATGTTCTCACTTCTCATTACCACTAAGTACTGTATATTGTATATGTTATATTATATTATATTATTATATTCTTTCCATTGTCCATTATTCTACAGAGACTGGTGTGTTCCTGTACCTTGGACTAGCAGTATTCACTATTAATAAATACTTTGACCTGGCTCTCATAATATGGAGTGTGGTACTGATACTGGCAGGAAGAGCAGCTAATATATTCCCATTGACAGCACTAGTGAACTGCTGCAGGTCTATTAAGATCAGCATTAGGATGCAGTGTATCATGTGGTACTCAGGTATGTGGAGCTATGCCTACTAATTAGTGTAATAACCACACCCACTAATTAATTAAAATGCAACTCATTTGAGCAACTTTTAAAATTTGTAAAAAATCCAATTTTGATCGGAATCAGCTCAAACTTTTTACACAACATAATATCATGTATATGTATCAGAAAATGTAATAAAAATGGAAAATTCTCTACTTTTCATTTTTGGCAAAAATTTGGCCCAGATTCCAGGAATTGTAATAAAACTCTCTCCCCTTTAGTTATTATTATTCTTTTCTTTTATTCCAGGTCTAAGAGGTGCAGTGGCATTTGCACTAGCTGAGAACTTAAAAGATTATTTCAACAAAGAAGTGACAGGCTATATAGTAACCACCACACTAGTGATTGTACTGTTCACTATTGTAATACTGGGGGGATCAACACTGCCACTACTTAAGGTAATGAGGTGTGGGGCAGGGGTGTGGTTTATATCTCCTATGTAGTTTTTAAAGGCAGATAAAGGAGCTAAACTTACATTAAGTAAAACAGAGGAACAGGTAATGGAGTAACTTTTAACTGTATTAGAGATTTAGATCTAGTGTCAGTAGTTATTAGTTAGTGGTTATTAATTGGTGGTTATTAAGTAGTTATTAATTTTTGGTTATTAAGTATGTAATTAATTATTGGTTATTATTAAGTAATAGTTATTAAAGTCATTAGTTATTAATATCCTATTTATTAATTACTGGTTATTAATAGGATACTGCTATTAGTATGTCCTCTCCAGTCAATGAAAGGTTCATGATGTCTCCTCGTGTGTACAATCGACTGAGGAACTGCTCCCAATGGTTCATGTTTATTGACTACAGGTGGGTGTGGCTAATAGTTATTAATAGTTATTAACTGTGTCTTAGGTATATCAGACCATTTTTCATCAGACGCTTCACAAAAGAGGTAATAATACATGTAGTTGATTTAGTAATTTATCAGTATATTCTAGTATATTTTAGTAATTTATCAGTAGTCTATCAATATACGTGTACTAATTATGCTTTATATTGGTAGATATATGTATACTGTAGGGCACCTTTTTTTCAAGGGCTATAGGTTTCACAGATTTTTATTTTGCAGATTATTTTTTGCAAATTTATGCTGTCTGCCATCTTGTACCATATTAATTTGATTTTTGCGGAAGTAATTTTTGCGAATTTTAAAGAAAATTGTGAAATCTGTGAAATTTACTGTCCTCGAAAAAAGGCACCCTACGGTAGTGTTTGTTGATCATATCATAAAGTGCATTTCATAATTATTTATATGTATTTATATTTCTCTCTACCTCCAGGAAGTGAAAGCCTCTCAGTTTGATATGCAGCAGAAGACAGTTGAGTGGTACCAAGGACTGAGGAATGACTCACTCTCTGATCATGATGAGATTCATGAGACCACTGCTGGAGAGGAGGAGAGTACTGTCTCTACACTGTTATCATAATCACTACTGCACTACCTCCTCATTACATGTATCAGTGTTATTATTATCAGTGTATTATTTAATGTCTTCTGTGTTCAATTCTCTCTCTCTCTCCATCTCTCATTGTTATTTAGTATAAGATGTGTTCTTAATCATCATTATTAATTATTATTTTCATTATTTTTGAGACTACATGTATTGTCTTATTCTTGTCCAGTCAGTTTGAACTCATCTTTAAATCACACAATTAATTTCATTTTATTTATGATTCAATAATACTTGCAAAATAGCTACTTTCTTCCAAGGTAGCTTTGACTTTTTATAAACTAATTTTGCATTTATCCTCAGCAAGTAACAGTTTCCAGGGAGAATGAGCAGGAAGGGAAAACTTGCAACAAAAAAATTCTTTTCAAATTAAAAATTATTAATTCAATTAAAAAAATTACGAAAACAAAGTACAAATTTTTATATTCCTTGTTATACTAAAGAATAAAATTAAAGCAAGTTAGCGATAAGGAGCTCTAACTAGTTTAGTTGCTATTATTTATATTGTTTATATTGTTTTTTTTTTTGTTCATATTTATTAATCATATCTTCATACAGTTTGTTAGCTAGTATGGTATCTTCGTCTTTGAGTATTTCTAAAATATACTCAAAAACCTTTCCCTCTTGTTGTACAGAGTCTTTAATAATGTCAAGTAGTTGATCCATTCTCTGGTCAGTGGTACGTCCACTGTATTCATCAATGGCTTTCTTCTTGTGTCTATTATTTATTATCTTCTTCTCTAATAACTTCTCTGCTAAGAAGTGAAGATCAATCCCACAGTGTTTGAGCTCTGAAATACATTCTGACACCACTCTATAAGCAACTTCAGGAATAACTGGCATGAAGTTAAATTAAATAACAAGTTTTAGCTTTACATGTACCTTCTGCTCGTACTCTTTCAGTTGAAGTGGCAGCAACAACTGATGGAACAACAACTGATGGAACAACAACTAATAATAATAATAATAATAATAATAATAATAATAATAATAATAATAATAATAATAATAATAATAATAATAATAATAATAATAATAATATAATAATAATAATAATAATAATAATTGATTATTAAATAATTAATTATTATTATTATTAATTATTGATAATAATTATTATTATTATCAATAATCAATAATTATTGTCAATAATCTTGTTTTTATTATTTAAAAATCAAATTAAGCAAAAGGATCACTCCAGGCCAAGATATAATTGAACAAGAAGACTTTGCACTCCAGATAGAAGTCTCACTTAGTCTCCTGTACCTCTCTAAGCCTTCGTTATTTGTCTTCACCATTGCCGCTTAGAAACTCCGTTGAAATTTTGCATCTCTTGATTCTTTCTTCAGGTAAATAGCAAGCACAAAGATCCTTCATGTCAACTGCATGGCTAGCAGCAACCAAAATAGGATAATGAACAAGTTACAACAAGAAGAAAGGAGCATGATGAAGTTTTCAGCCATTTATTTGCGTGTGGGTGGGGCTACACGTGACGTTTTGATGATGAAAACATCCGGTCAAAATCAACTGAAACCGACTATAATTCACAAGAAGATGCTCGTGAAGCTCGTCGACTGCTTGATTGGGAGAGAAGAAGGAGCAAGACTGAGGAGGAGAAAACTGAGAGCGAGGAGGTCCAATAGAAATGCTAGAGATAGGTCTTGTCTCACCCAAAGACAACAAATGGAGTCTCCTTATGGCTTCTGAGACCAACTATCTTCCATCCTAGATCTATTTTATAACTG